CCCATCTCGGGATCGAAAGTCTGGAATTCCACAGGAGACAGAGATGCCGGCTCCAGTGAGAACAAGAATACGAGAGCGGTGACGCAAGAGTTTCACAACCGAGTCTAAGGTCGCGAATTGCTCTAGTCTCCGACGATGAGGCTGTCCTGATAAGACGGAGCAGAGAATGCCCCAAAGACTAGCGGAATCTGAAGGCAAGATAGAGGGGCTCATGCCAAAGATGCAGGTTAACAGAAGACGAGGGTTGTCATAACCTTCGGAGATCAGTGTGTTGAGACGACTGAGGTTGCGCCAGGACATTTCTTGCTCGTCAGTGTCGTAGATGACGCTAATAATCTCGCACTCACTGCTCTCAACGTCTTCGTCCCAGTCACTAACTATAACAACCTGTTCATGGTACTTTTAAGGCTGAGAGGTTAATCCAAGATAACGGTGCGTACGAATGAGGGGGAGTTGAGATCCGCTCGGCTGGCGATTGGCCTCGCAGAGTAGAGAAGTGTGTCGGAGTATAGAGCAGAGCTACCGAATTAGGGGGTGCGAATGAACACGATTCACAAAAATGCAATCCTCCAAATCTCAGCATGAACATGAACTGAACTCACTCGTTTTTTCGTCCCAAGATGGAGATCAATGTTTTGTGCACGATCATTGTTACGCTGTTGATGTGAGTCGCTATCAAAGTGGATTTGCTAGCAGGAAACGAACAGGTTTAAACATCTGTGACGAGTTCTAGTTAAACCACAATTGTTATCACAATTGCGAATCTGCCTAAATTCTTATCCAACTCCACACTCAATCAAGTTCGTGACTGCAACTTCCAGCATGACCTATTTATGTGGTATAGGAAGAAGTCGTAATTGATGCAAGAAATGTGCCGATAATTTACTCTAAGTCAGTCAGTAAGCTCTTCAAATATCAACCGGTCGTGACCAATCACGCAGAATTGGCCTCCGTGTATATGCACCCTCGCGCGTAACACATCGAGCTACCTGATCCCTTAATTGTGTCCACTTACGCATAACCCTAACCATCAAGCATTAACCGTCTTAGTCTGTACCTGCTTAAAGTGATTTCACTAATCCTATCTACCAACACACTAGCGACACAGACTCGCTGCTTCTTACACTCTCTCAGCTATCTGACCAGCGGAGCAAATGGCCAACACCGTATGGTCTGTGGTCGAATGATGAGAAGCGTTTTCAGACTAGAAGACGTGCTTTGTCATGACGTCAAACAACTCAGGTGGTTACTCGCTAAGCATGTTCTGTTTACAGAAATGTTAAAGCTATGTTTCAGCACAGACGTCTTTGGCATTCGTGTTACCCTTTAAGCGTAACCAGAGCCACACACTCAGATACCCGGTACTCGAAATCCTATTCGAATGCGAGATGCACCATCGCGTTCACGATAAGGACAGGAGCTTGGGTAGAGAGTTTTATACTGTTTGAAAAAAGGAGCGAATATGTCATGGGAGAACGCAGCCTAGGGAATCCAGATGGATCAGCAGAGATGGAGATATTTGTAGGGTGACATCGCTGACTCACGCACGTACGTATGCGACCACGACGCAATTCAATTTCGTAGTGAACCGTCTAGGAGAATGATGGACTGCCTGCAGGTTCGAGTCTAAACCCTCATTAGAGTTGGATGTGTGTTGAATGGTTGTTCCTTATTCATATCACCACTTCACGTAAACACCATCAAAATTTTTTCCTATTAGTTAAATCTACATAGTTTGCTCCGTTAGTAATGGGGAGACCATTTTTGTGGTATCATCAGCAAGAATTCACTAACAGAATGTATTCATAATCAATGATTAGTCAATAAAGCCTGTTCTGTTTTACCAGTCTTCATAATACTGGGGCACGGTTATTCTACACAGGTTGTCGATTGCGTCGAGGGACGTGCCGAAATGGATTGGTGCTACTTTGACTGCCAGTTGACTTGACTTGGCTCTGTTGGGATAATGATTTTGGTGTACCTGTTATTGCGGCTACCATTGCATTTGGTGTTTCTGAACTCAAGTGAATTAATGCCGATTTCTTGAGACATAAAAACTATTACACAGAAAGAAAAATTTTGTCTCGCTTCAAATCGGATATTTAAGTAAACTTTCAGCGTTAGATATGGCGGTTTACACGTTTCAAATTTGATGATTAATCGACTTTTTTACAGTGTGAACTGAGGAACCAAACCATTACACAGGCTGTATAAATAAGGCAGAGTCAATTTTGTTTCAGACAACCGACTGAAATCTCTAAAATGTGATAGTGTGATGCACCTATGATTTAGACCAGCAGGATCGCGCAGGTTCGCCCCACTGTCTTCTCCTCGAAAAGGTCACTACACGGGCAGACGTTTAACTTTCCATTCTTACGACTAAGAGATGACAAGCATGCTATTCAAGAACGAAAGCTTCGCATGTCGTGTTTACACGCAAATTGAATTGCAAAGGATTAGTGATCAACGCGCAGTTGTACCATTTATGGCTGACGAAGACCTAACTAACCCATATGCAGTTCAGTTAATGGCTGAATACAGTTATTGCTGCAGAATTAATCAACTAGAAACTCAGTTGGAACTGTCAAACCATGAAGAATCGGTCGTTGAGTGTCTTAAAACAAAGATGATCCGACAATTTTGCTTACGAAGGATTCCAGTTACGGATCTAGTGATTAAGAACGGGCGTCTAAGAAAGTCAGACGAGTGTTTTATGATGTTAGACGCCTCTGACTACCGCGTTTCGTCGATCTGGAGGAAAACCAGGAACGGTCCTGCAAACATGACTCAGAAAATTTAGAACAATTTTAAAATGAGGCCAGACACAGATCAGCTAGTACACACAGCGGAATACAAAGCATACACGACAGGAGGCAGTTATGAGGACACTTCAAATAAACAAATTTCTTCAGGACTGTAGCAAATAGATATGTTGTAAATCATCCCTGGAATTTGAAATGAGTGGGTATCTGTAAAACAAACATGGCAAAACAACTCTTTACGCGTTTTCGTACTCACAAGAAAAAAACCGATGGAATGTTGAGGATTTTCGTGGGAAAGTGGTGCTCTAAAGAGGTCTAAAAAGGGAACTCAAACAATGGCTGTTCTCTTTCCACCTCCCTACCCTTTACGAAATCAAGCCAAAAGAATAATCACCAATAAGTGTATATGTAAAAAGAAGCGTTGGAGAACAAAATTATTGGGAAAACGACCGATAATTTCCTCACTTCTTTCATGGTCGCACTTCCTTTCCCACTTGTTTTTAAAAATTTAACCAACCCTTTTTGTTGCCTGAAAGCCGGATTCCCAATAAGATTGTTAAGCTCAACATTTTGCTCTAGTGTAAGCCTTTGACTTACAATTCGGGTGCGCATTATAACGCCTTTTAAAATTTGTGCAGAAGTCGAACAGTTGCCCGAAATGGAACGAGTCAGTTAGCGAGTATGCGTTTTCAATTGTGTGTGAAGTTCTTATTGTTGTTTGTAATTTCACTGACCTCTGCTGGTGATTTGCACAAAGGAACATGCATTGTATTTAATCGTTTATAGGTCAATAAAACGAAATCCATCGACCATTGC